TCATCATCATCATCATCATCACCACTATCATCATCATCATCATCATCACCACTAACATCATCATCACTATTATCATCATCATCATCATCATCACTATTATCATCATCATCATCTAACATCATCATCACTACTATAATCATCATCATCTCTACCAACTCTAACATCATCATCATCACTATCATCACTATTATCATCATCATCACTATTATCATCATCATCATCACTATTATCATCATCATCACTCTCATCATCATCACTCTCATCATCATCAGGGCTGTACATTAACATTTTTAGCTCATAGCACCGGTGCTACACAGGTTGCTGATTTTGTAGCACAGAACAAAAAGTTGTAGCAGCAGCATAAATATCTGTTCTAATGTCTAAAGCCAAAAGGCAGAATGGTGAATAATAGTGAGTWTTGTTGTAGGACAGGAGTCACCAACCTGTTTGAGACTGAGAGCTACTTCAGGGGAGAAACACAAAGAGCTACTTGTTTGATAAAAACAGATTTATACAGCTCACATTCTATTATAAAAAAATGTACATACATGTGAAGATTTAATTACTAAGTTACATCTTAATGTTAGTGACTCCTCATGATAGTTGTGGATAATAATTTACTATGATTAAGTTAATATTACTGTAAGTGATCAGCAGATTTATCTTAGTCCAGAGTTCAGTTTAAATCTGTTTTGATAAAACACAGAAACACTAAATGGATGAAGAACACATAACATGTTCATTTTCTCCTGACAGTTCAGAAATCATCAACAGACTCTGTCACCACTCAGGTGTGATTTCAGACAACAGGATGAATTAAAAGAGRCGTGGAAAAAAAACCTCAGCTGCTCTGACTGAAGCTACTAAAGTCTGCAGCTGCAGAATAACTCTTGACTCTTTGTTATGTTGCAGATTAAAATACATCCAAGAACATCTGTTTAGTGTTTTAAGTTTCAAAATAATCTGACTCTTGTTCTGATTATATGTGCAGTTAGTGTCTGGGCCTGTAAAGTTTGTATTTATCTCCTCTGTACGTAAAAAGAGTAAAGAAGTTTCATTTCTAAAAAATAAAATAAAAAACATGCATTTGTAAGATTTATTCAAAATACACATTTCTTTGTTCTAATTATACTAACTTTAATAGATACAAATATCAGTTATGTAATATAAAAACAAGCATAGAAAGACTTCAATCACTATGAAAATAATGTTTTTCTACATTTGAATGCATCTAAAGGGTGAATGTTCCTGACTGAGGTGTGTTT